TTAACGGAGATTTCACGGATCGTCGAGACAGAAAAAAAGCGCGTGACTTCCGTTCATTTGGAGACCTCACGAGTCTCCAGATGTGCCCGAATCCAGCACATATGGAGCCTGACGCGGCCCAACGAACGTTTGATTCGCGAGATCGACTCGTAGAAACTCGTAGGTCGAGCACTTCTCTGCCTCTAACGGGTGTACGACCTTTTCTTCGAACCGTTCATTAATGAATGTCTTCGATGCTACGCCCATAAATAGCGATAGACGACAACGAGTCCGAATAAATGATATTCGCTCTTTTTAATATGCGCCCAATGATACATTTATACCAAGTGCTTATTCTATTAAAGTTACTTTATATGGTGATAATATTAAAAGTCCATAGGATAATGATGCTTCTTTAAATACGATGTTCATTCAATTGTCTCCGTCCTGAAATTAATAATATTAAAAGAAGATATTAATAGGCTCTCGAACGATCAATCTTGAAAAGCTCTAAAGTTCAAAAAATACATTGAAGATAATAGGATATTGCGATTAATTACTCGAGTGGATCTTACTTTGCTTGCAACACTACGAGAATTGTAATATTAAATTATCGATTATGAAATTTCAAAGAACTTTCATTGATGAAGCACTTTCATTAAAATTACATATGATTATCAATATAGCTTTACGCTTTTAAAATCCAATATAATACACAATATTGTGTATATTATATTAATATTCCAATGTTAATATAACAATATTTCACATCACTATTGACAAATATTAATTTTGAAACAATGCATTATATATAAGGACGGTTTTTACTCGATTCTTACTCCATTGAATTTTCTTTCTCGAATATGTCTAACACAATGTAAGATATCGTCATTAAATTCATTTTCCCGTTAAATATATTAATAAACATTAATGAACAATGATTATAATCAAACGAATAAAATTAAATTGGGCTACGAAAGTATTCTAATAATCGAAGTGGTACTGCCAATATACGCAAAATTTCCATAATAGTAATAACCATAATAAAACATTTAATATAATAATATGGATAATTTCATATCAATTGCATAAAGATATATTTGTGCGTACTAATAACGAGTCTTAATTAACGCTTTACAAGCTCAATGTAATATCGGAATTTTGCAAATACAAAATAAAATAATTATAATTCATAAGCTATTTTCATCACATGTTAACAATTACAAAGTAATTTATTTCTTAATTATTACAAAACTAAATACTTTCATAAATTCGACATTTATTTGATAAAAACTTCAACTCCTAAACTCTATCTAAACTGTCGTATCCGTAACTATTGTATTTTCATCAAACCCAAAGAAATATTTAAAAAATATATATAAATAAATGATATTGTAAAAACGTCGCCCTTGCAATTATTTCAATTATCCTGCTAATTTTCAAAATTATGAATAATTAAGCATTGCAATGTACCTGAACGTAACAACTTGATATATTTACACGTTTCAGTTCTTACATTTTAGTCGATCAGCAATGCCATCTATCGACACGGCCCAACACAACCATTAGTCCTCCCGCACTCACCCACACACTCGCGCGTCGCCAACAACATACATCGAACTTGCGAACACCCCATTTGCGTAAGCGCCCGTCTCTTCCAAAATTCAATGCATACATGTGTGCACGCCTAGGCGCAGCATATATAGCCTAAGGCAGAGTCTCTCGGCCGCACATTGACTACTCGATCCCACACTAATTATAAGAGATACTAGCGCGCGCCTAGGTTGATTCAATTTTAAT